GTGTCCTCCAGCTAGGGCGTTGAATCCTCAGCTAGGGGCTTGGTGTCCTCAGCTAGGGGGCGTGGTGTCCTCAGCTGGGAGCGTTGAATCTTCAGCTGGGGGCGTGGTGTCCTGAGTTAGGGGCGTGGTGTCCTCAGCTGGGGGCGTGGTGTCCTGAGGGGGCGTGGTGTCTCAGCTAGGGCGTTGAATCCTCAGCTAGGGTTCGTGGTGTCCTGAGCTAGAGGGCCCTGAGCTAGGGGGCGTGGTGTCCTGAGCTAGAGGGCGTGGTGTCCTGAGCTAGGGGGCGTGGTAGGGACTCACATGTGGGCGTCAAGTGGAGTATTGATCAGCTGACTCCTTCACGCCTCTCGTTATACTTTCATTGGCACTGTTGCCAGTAGTGCCTCCTGTGTTGGCACTGTTGGTACAGGTGCTCTGTGTGTTGGTACATTACTGTCATGTTGTTTATGTTGGCACTCACGGAGATATGGTTGGTGTTGTCAATGCCACAATTTTGTTGGCACTACTTCACTGGTGCTGGCGTCATTGTTACGATGTTGGCACTACCTGTATGATGCCAGCACTGCCTCTAAAGTTGGCATTATTCTTGGTGTGGTTGTGTTCCTAAGGTGTTGAAGCTGATTGTTTGGGCTTAGCGTTGTCACGGCGTTGAATTGTTGTCAATGCCGACGTGGTGTTGTCACTGTAGAATCATTCGAGGGTTGGCACTGCTCACGGGGTTGTGTTGGCATTGCTGGTTTGGTAATAAAATAATAACTAATAATAATAATAATGATAATAATAATAATAATAATAAAAATGTCTATGACTGAGACATTACATACATACATACATACATCACGGGGTTACCATACTACAGGGGTCGACACACACAAGGTGAAGAGAGAGAGAGTCGTCATAGTGTCATCAGCCTGGGACCACAACTGAGACTCACTACTAAACATTAAATAATAACAATCACGAAATATTGATTCCCCGGAGGCCAACATGACGTCATAAATCACAAAATGGCCTCCAAGATGTAGTAAAATGTGTGTGTGTGTGTGTGTGTGTGTGCGTGTGTGCGTGTGTGTGTGTGTGTGTCAGGCCAACTCTGGAACACTTGCTTCTTAAACTACTTCCCGGTCAGGTTGATTTTATGTCTGTCTGTCTGTCTGTCTGTCCCTGATGCTCTCAATTAACTACAGATGACTTGGAAAACCTGAAGGATTAATAGCATAGATAAATGATTGTTAGCATCCTATTACTTGACGTCAATAGCACACAAATGGTCATTAAAAAACACCAACTAGACACAGAAGCTATTTATGGAAGATGGCGGCCATGTTGACTGCCGGTGATGACGTCAGAGCCGGCACCGTATTGTGAAATTTTTGGAGCTTGATATTTTGTGTGTGTGTGTGTGTGTGTGTATAGAGGTGTGTGTGTGTGTGTGTGTGTGTAGGTGTGTGTGTGTGTGTGTGTGTGTGTGTGTGTGGGTGTGTGTGTGTGTGTGTGTGTGTGTGTGTGTGTGTGTGTGGTGTGTGTGTGTGTGTGTGGTGTGTGTGTGTGCCCTGCTTCATCCTTTCTCAGTTGCAATAATAATAATAATAATGATGATAATAATAATTTAAGGGTATTATTATTATTACGATAATTAAGCTAAGGAAAGAGATGACGGTTCAACATTAATATAATTATTATTGTCAGTGTAATATTAGCCTGGCTCAGAGGGTCTTGTTTAATATTAACGAGTGGGTGTTGAAGTAGGTGTAGGCAGTGGGTGTAAGAGAGGCAGTGGTGTAAGAGAGGGTGGGTGTAGGCAGTGGGTGTAGAGAGGGGGTGGGTGTAAGAGAGGTGGGTGTAAGAGAGAGGTGGGTGTAGGCAGTGGGTGTAAGAGGTGGGTGTAAGAGGGTGGGTGTAGGCAGTGGGTGTAAGAGAGGTGGGTGTGAGGCAGTGGGTGTAAGAGAGGTGGGTGTAGGCAGTGGGTGTAAGAGAGAGTGGGTGTAGGCAGTGGGTGTAAGAGATGGGTGTGGGCAGTGGGTGTAGAGAGCAGTGGGTGTAGAGAGAGGGGTGGGTGTAGGCAGTGGGTGTAAAGAGAGGTGGGTGTGGGCAGTGGGTGTAAGAGAGTGGGTGTAGGTGGGTGTAGAGGTGGGTGTGGGCAGTGGGTGTAAGAGAGGTGGGTGTAGGCAGTGGGTGTAAGAGAGGGGTGGGTGTAAGAGAGAGGGTGGGTGTGAGGGACAGTGGGTGTAAGAGGGGTGGGTGTAAGAGAGTGGGTGTAAGAGGTGGGTGTAGAGGACTAGATCAAGAGGGTTGCTGTATTAATGGGTCTTAACATCACTCAGCAATCATTGAAATCGGAATCTGATCATGTTTGGTCCCGGTCGTCCTCGGTAAAGTTGGGCCCACATCCAGCTTATGTTGCTGGGGCCCACATGACCGGCTTATGTTGCTGGGGCCCACATGACCGGCTTATGTTGCTGGGGCCCACATGACCGGCTTATGTTGCTGGGGCCCGCATGTTGCTGGGGCCCATGACCGGCTGATGTTGCTGGGGCCCATGACCGGCTTATGTTGCTGGGGCCCACATGACCGGCTTATGTTGCAAGTTCATAATAACATAACCTTCCCAAAACGGCGTAAGAAACACTGTGTTGGCAGATATGTTGACACTCATCTCCCCTCGGGGTGGTAGGGGTGACCTGGGGGTGGTAGGGGGTGACCTTGGGGGGTGTGGTAGGGGTGACCTGTGAGGTGTGGTAGGGGTGACCTGGGGTGTGGTAGGGGTGACCTGGGGTGTGGTAGGGGTGACCTGAGGGGAGTGGTGAGGGTGAGGAGGTGGGCGTGGCCTGGTTGAAGAGCAGTCGTGACGTCATTACTGGTGGCAGGTCTTAATGAACTTCACAACTCTGGCCTTAACTTGCCTCGTTGGAACCACCATTAATATTACCAGGTACACTGTTTACTTTGTTCCTCCCCTCCCCTCCTTCTTCCCCCACCCCCTTCTTCTCCTTCCCCCCTCCCACCTCCTTCCCACTCCTCCCTCCCCCTCCTCCACTACCGCCATGTTGTTGAGGACGGCACATGTATTAAATAACCTGTTAATGAGATACCTTTATGTGGTTTATGCTCTCTCTCTCTCTCTCTCTCTCTCTCTCTCTCTCTCTCATATCTAGGTGTTTTCTTTTCGAATGTTACAAACTATGAATATATAAGCATCATTAACCTCATCTCCTCACCTCACCTCACCTCACCTCACCTCTATAGTCTGCTTAGGTTACAGTAAACAGATTTTCATTTACGAATCAGAGTCAGATTTATTTACCATATATGAATAAATTTACATAAAGTTGTAACAATAAAAACAAAAAGTTATTTCCATTTTGCTCCGCCCCCCCCAAATGCCGGTTGTGTTTTAAGGCTTAACCGGACGAGAAAAAACCCGGATATATTTATTAATTTCTTCATTTGTTTATACTTTTGCCGGTTGTACGTGAAGTGGCGCGACATACATACATACATACATACATACATACATACATACTGCACATATACATACATACATACATACATACATACATACACTTGTTAAATATTTACCCTGAAGTAGTCTTGAACGATTTAGTACTAGACAATATGACACAACAGACGAAAGATTTTGACAACACTACCGAGACAACAGGAGTCACAGTGTTCATTGTGGGACTCATCGATCACCTGTATAGATATTTTTTGGGGCGGTGTGTTGTTACGTAGCTTAATGGTGTTTGTGTGTTGATCTGGGGAGGTGATTTTGTTGCCTTGATTCATATCTTGTTAGTATCTACACGCTAATCTCTCCCTACCATACCTACCCTACCTCCTATCCTTCCCTACCATACCTACCCTACCTTCTATCCCTCCCTACCATACCTACCCTACCTTCTATCCTTCCCTACCATACCTACCCTACCTTCTATCCTTCCCTACCATACCTACCCTACCTCCTATCCTTCCCTACCTTCTATCCTTCCCTACCATACCTACCCTACCTTCTATCCTTCCCTACCATACCATACCCCCTTCTACCGTCCTTCTTCCCATCATACTAACTCCCCCCCCTTCCTACCATCCCTCCCCCACTTTCTTCTCTAAGTTGATCATAATTGGCGTGAAGGAGGGAGGGAGGGTGGTGGTGGTGAAGGAGGGAGGGTGGTAGTGGTGGTGGTGGTAGCGGCGGTGGTTGTGTGGTGACGTTGCTCCGGAAATTTGGACGGAAGGAGGAGCCTCTTGACTAAATTGGAGGAGGTTGTGTCATAAAGGATCCTGAGTGTTGGTCTTTCTCTTTAATAACTCCTTCTTCGTCATCTCCATCTTCTTCGCTCCTTCCTCTTCCTTCTTCCTCCTCCTTCCTCTTCCGTCTCCTTCCTCCTCTAACTCCCTCTTTCTCCTCTTCCTCCTCCTTCCTCCTCCTTTTCATCTTCAAATTCTTCATCACCTGCAGTTGTGCACGATGGCCAATTCCAATGGTTTGCTGAGGGTTAGGTTAGGTAAGGTTAGGTAAGGTTAGGTGAGGTTAGGTTAGGAGCCCAAGGAGTCTTTCAAATTACTCACTGGCCCAATTAAGTTGCTACGGTGCTTATACGATACAGGTGTGTCATAATGGCTCTACCAGGTGTAAAGGAGCGCGCGTCAGGTAGCCTCAGGTAACAACGTTCAAGAGGTCACAGGTGAGGCCGGGAGGTCGCCATGGCAACCACACAACAAAGGAACTGACGTATTGCCTTTTTATTATCACATGTTCGTAGGTATAGCTGGTTACCATGGTGATGCCACACACACACACTCACACACACTCACACACACACACACACACACACACACACACACTCACACACACACTCACACACACTCACACACACACACACACACACACACACACACACACACACACACACACACACACACACACACACACACACACACACACACACACACACACACACACACACACACACACACACACACACACGGTCAAAAAGCCGGAAGCTGCGATGGTATTCCTGTCATCTGTCTAACTTCCTTCCCCCACCTCTACTCTTCTTTCTCTACAAAAAAAAGGTGTTTAATCATCAGGTAAAAAAAGACTAGGGTGTCTAATTAACCTTCACATGATCACCTTAATGAAACAAAATTATTACAAGAGCCACACCAGAGCCACACCAAGAGCCACACCACCACACAGTACGCTGGAGGAAATTGCAGAGAGAATATTGTGGTAGTGTTGTGGCGGTGTGGTGGTGGTGGTGGAGATTTATGTGGGGCGGTGGACACCTGTGTTAGCGCCGCCACCAGGTCACCCCAGCAGGTAGCTCTCCTCTCTGGCCTTCTGCAGGAGGGTGGCGGGGGTGTGGTAGAGAAGACAGTAATGTTCTTTAGTTGTGTGTGATGACTGTACTGGAGGTGACTGTGTGTGCTGGTGTCGTCCGGGGGTTACTGAGGGTGAGTTTTGAGGTCTCTCTCTCTCTCTCTCTCTCTCTCTCTCTCTCTCTCATGCTCGCTCGCTCACTCACACTTACATAAGCATATAGAGTACACACACACACACATACACACACACAAAATGTAAATATGTAAATCTCAACCTAAACATCACCTGCTGTTGTAATTAGGTAATATAAATATGCGTGTAAACAATGTCGCTATTTTACACACGGCCACCATGACTGTTTCTTGTGTAGGATGGAAGTACACATGGACGGACGGAGGCTGTGTGTGTACGTATAGCATCACATTGTTTTCTCTTTCAGGTGGAATATTAATCGTTGTGGTATTTAAAGGGTCCTGGTGGTGGACTCTCTCTCTCTCTCTCTCTCTCTCTCTCTCTCTCTCTCTCTCTCTCTCTCTCTCTCTCTCAAGGGAGGAGGCTTTTGAGAGAAAAGTGAGACAGGAAAGAGAGAGTTGAGTAAGGAGGGGGGGGAGAAGCATGTGAGAAGAGAAGAGAAGATTGAGAGGAAGGAGGAATGAGAGAGCAGGGGAGAAGAGTTGAACGTTTGAGAGACATGTTGAGGACAGGAGAGAGAGAGAGATCAAAGACGAAAATTCATATGATAATAATGTGAAAAATGTGTCCAGCACGGCGGTAGGGGAGGGGGAGGAGGAGGAGGAAGAATAAGTGGGAGGAGGAGATAAAAGAAGTAGGAAGAGGAGGGGATAAAAGAAGGAGGTAGAAGGAGGAAGAGGACGAGGAGGAGGGGGGTAGAAGGAGGAAGAGGTAGGAGAGGGGAGAAAGTGGGGGAAGAGGAGGATGAGGAGGTAGGAGTGGGCCACTGGGCCAGCCAGCCATCCTTTACAGCGGCAGGAGAGTGGGAGAGTGAGGGACCCGCTGAGATTCCCCGCGGCGCTCTCACCCGCTCTCACTACCTCCTGGTGGAGAGGTCTTAACTCCTCCCTCCCTCCCACCAACACATGACCTCCGCCGTATTCCTCTTTCCTCCCTCCTCTCTCCCTCTCTTTTCTCCCTTCTCCCCCTCTTTCCTCCCCTCTTCACCAAAACGTCTCACTCTTGGTTGACTTGCCCAGGTATACTCTCTCTCTCTCTCTCTCTCTCTCTCTCTCTCTCTCTCTCTGTAAACTACACTCCCCCGACTACCGAATTACCTGAAGTTGGTCATCATTGTTCTGGTCAATTTTAAGTCTAAGTTTTAAGTCTCTTTAAAAATCTGTTTCTTGTTAAATATTTTAAGTAACCACAAAGGTCTAATTTAAGTGTGTTTTTAGGGTAATTTTAAGCGACTTGATAGAATAAAACTTTAAGTGGAACTTAAGGTAAAACTTTCGTGTGAATTTCAATTGAATTTTTTCTTCAAACTTTTGGTAAAACTTGAAAGAACTTTAGATAAAGCTTGAAGGAACTTTAAATAAAACTTGAAGGAACTTTAGACAAAAATTGAAGGAACTTGAGATAAAACTTGAAGGAACTTTAGATAAAACTTGAAGGAACTTTAGATAAAACTTGAAGGAACTTAAGATAAAACTAGAAGGAACTTTAGGGTAACACTTGAGACTTGACTTCAAGGAACAGCAGCTAAAACTCGACATCAAACTTGGAGGAGGAGGTGTGGAGGCGAGGACAGACTCAGACACGGTAATTGTTTGGAATTTCTGTTACGGGAGGCAGGTGTGTTGTGGTGTGCAGGTGTGTGGTGGTGTGTTGGTCTGAGGCCCCTGGAGGAAGAGGTGGTGGCGTCATCACATGTTAAAGTTGATGGTGGTGGTGTAGTGGTGTTGGGGGTGTGGTGGTGATGATTAGAGGTGTTAGGGTGGTGATGTAGTGGTGGTAATGGTGGAGTTGTTGTTGGTGGTGATAGTAATAATGGTGTGTGTGTGTGTGTGTGTGTTAGATGACTGAAGTGTACCACAAATGAATGAATGAACTGTAACATGAATGCAGTGTACGTTAATTGAAGTGCCAAGTGACTGGAGAGCAATGTGAGGTCCCCAATGAATGCTCCTCACCCCCTGTCACCCCCTCTCACCCCCTCATCCCACTCCTCCTCCCTCTCACATGAACGAGGGTTTGTCTGAGAGAGGGGGGGGGATGAATGAAGAAGTGAAGCGTATGAATGAAGCAACAACAGTCAGGTCAGCTGATGGTGGAGGACCCAGCATCAGGCAGAAGAGGGGGGCTGCCTCTCCTTCCTCCTCCTTCAGGCGTGCAGTTTTAAAGAGGTGTGCCTCGCCCACCACTACCTACTTCTCCCCTCCCTCTTCCTCCTTTTCCCCTCCTCCTTCCATCTCCTCCTCCTCCTTCCATCTCCTCCTCCTCCTTCTTCCTCCATTACCAAGAGTCACCCCCCTCAACACACACACACACACACACACACACACACACACACTGGCATTGAAGACAAAACCCACGCGTTTGGGGCTGACACTCGTGTATTCCTCTTCAGCTGGCGTCGCTCAGTGGTCCATGGGGGGGGGGGGCTAGTGTGAGGCAGGTGGTAGATATCACAGACCAGTGTTGACGATGCTTCCATTAATTGGTTTATTACATAGCAAAGTTTGTGGCTCATATGGAGTTTAGACACCCCAGATTATTTCACCTTAAGATTAACCACCCTCACCTAACCTAAGTTAACCATAACCTACCGTAACCTAACCTAGCTTCATCTAATTTAACCTAACCCACCAGGTAAAGTTAGGGTGTTAATCATCAGGTGAAATAATCTGGGGTGTCTTATCGTCAAGTAATCTGATGTCGCTATTGATTTTGTAGCTGCAACAACACCTTATATATATATTTTTTGTTTACTTGACTTTCTGGCTGACTCGCTCACTGACGGAGAAAAGGTGATTTAAAGCACCGCTGGCTGTGGGGGCCGGTGAGAGCCCCTGACCCTATGTGTGACGGCATCGAACTCGGGAAGAGGCGGACAGGGCTCTCGAATCGCACCCCCCCCCTCACCCCCCCACCCCCCGGAGAGTGAAGCAGGGCGTGTAGGTATAGGAGGGCGTGTAGGAGGGAAGGAGGGCGTGTAGTTAGGGAATAGTAAGGAGGAGTGCTTGGTTTCTTACGGGACATAATGGCGTGTGGTTGACATTTAACTCACCTCCAAAGTATTGACCGACCCTCCCTCCCCTCCCCTCCTCCCCTACCCCTCCCCCCTCCCCTTCCCCCTCCTCCTCCCTCCTACCCCTCCCCTTCACCTAACAGAATCTTCCTAATATCGGACAGGGCTTGTAAGAATTAGTCCGGTATTGGGAGGGATTACTGTAACGCTCCTGTGTTTTGTAGGTCAGGTGATGGTGACAGCTCGGCAGGAGTTGGTACCTTACCCGAGTGCAGCGATGTCTTGGCTAGAGTGTCTGATGGAAGTATTGTCGAGGGAGGTTTTTATTTATTTATTATCATTATTATTATTATTATTATTATCATCATCATTACCATTACATTGTTGTTATTATTATTATTATTATTATTATTATTATTTTTATTTATTTTTTGCGTCGTGGGAAAATTGTGGTGGTGTTATGGCGGCGGCTCCTAACACCACTCTCATCTACCACATCACCTTCAGGCACTCCTCCTCCGTCAGGCACCTCGTCAGGCACCTCCGTCAGGCACTCCTCCTCCGTCAGGCACCTCTTCGTCAGACACTCCTCCGTCAGGCACTCCTCCTCCGTCGCGCTCCTCCGTCAGGCACTCCTCCTCCTTCGTCAGGCACTCCTCCTCCGTCAGGCACTCCTTCGTCAGGCACTCCTCCGTCAGGCACTCCTTCGTCAGACACTCCTCCGTCAGGCACCTTCGTCAGGCACTCCTCCCGTCAGGCACTCCTCCTCCGTCAGGCACTCTCCGTCAGGCACTCCTCCTTCGTCAGGCACTCCTCCTCCTCCGTCAGGCACTCCTTCGTCAGGCACTCCTCCGTCAGGCACTCTCTTCGTCAGGCACTCCTCCGTCAGGCACTCCTCCTTCGTCAGGCACCCTCCTTCGTCAGGCACCACGACTCTTGTCAACACACGAGGGAGTATAAAAGTTGTGATGGGTACAGGAAAGGAGGGAGAGGAGAGAGGGCAGGAGAGGGGGAGGAGGGAGAGAAAGTTTTACGATCAGGTGGCCAAGAGGAAATTAAATGTTTACATCAGATTGTGGAGGAAAGACCCGTTTCGCCCACTACCTGGAAAATGATGATGCTGGCGTGTGATTGGTGCGTTTTGTCGGGTGCTGGCGTGTGATTGGTGCGTTTTGTCCGGTGCTGGCGTGTGATTGGTGCGTTTTGTCTGGTGCTGGCATGGGATTGGTGCGTTGCTACTAGCGTTCCATCATGATTGGAGAGTTATTACCAGTGCTCCATCGTTATTGGCGAAAGTTACGACCGGGCGCTGCATTACGATTGGTGCGTTATGACTGGTGCTTCGACGTGATTGGCTATTTCCAGTATTGTATGGATGGTGGCGCTTCTCCCCGCCCTCCTCCTCCCTCTCCCACCCTACTCCCTCTCCCCTTCCCTCCCTTCCCTCCCCCCCTCCCTCCCTCCTGCACTAGCCAATT